ATATATATATATATATAATTTTGTTATTTGCAACAAAAATGGTAATGACTTTGAATGGGTTCTCAAGTAAAAGCCTTGGTAGTTGGCTAGCTTCTATTTTCCAATATAGAGGATTGCTTCGAAGACTATTTAAAATAAATATTTTTTTAGTTATAATTTAGATCATAAATACTTTAAAATGCATAAAGAAACATTTCAAAGTGACCACTTTACTCGAAAAAGGAGGGGCAAAAAAGTTTTTTTTTTTAAATTTTTTAAGGTAGATATACCCATATTTACAAGGTTTATCCATTGATAACAAGTCAGAAATGTCACAATTATATTATTTATGAAGGAAAACTACGTAGTATTCTTAGACTAGTCTGCATAAATTGGCCACTAAGCGTTTGGTAGGATGTACATATTAGAAAAACTAATATATATATTAGTTATACACCTTATTTAGTATTATGTCATTTATAACTAATACATAGCAAATCATGGTATTAATAATTCATGAATAAGCATATAATTAAAGATATAAATATTTTTATTATTCCGAACCAAATAATTCATAATAAATAATTTCAGCATTACTAATATATCACATTCAACAATACATTCTATCAAACGATCCCAAAGTGTGAAGCATCACCCTTTGAAGTCATAGTCATGGATGGTCCAAGGTGCATCTTAGTGTCTTTTGAGATCATCAAATTTAAGCCAAAAGATTGGTTCTAAACATGAACTTGAAAATATATCCGTTTAAGAATTAACAATTTACGGAATTACTCAAAATTTGAGTTCTATGTCACTAATTAATAATGCTGATAAAGTATTTTGTATTGACAATAGTATTGACACAATCCATTTTGTATTGACAATAGTATTGTCAAAATTTGAGTTCTATGTCAAAATTTGAGTTCTAGTGCTCAAAGCTTATTTATTTGCTTTACAATAGTAATAACACAATCCATTCTCAAAAAACAATAGTATTGACACAAACATATAAGAAAGATTAGTGAAACAAATCAATCATCATATATAAATAACATAAGCATTTCAAATTACATAATAAGATTCTTAAAATATTAAGGAATGCTAATAGTTAATATCCATTCGAAGTGAAATAACCATATCATATTCTAGAAGTAATACTGAGAACTCACATGATCTACGTTGGTAAGATCCATCCGGTAATCTTCTTGCCCCGTCACCTGTAGTAAGTGTCATTAAATCATTTTGAGAGATTCAATAACAGAGTTGCCAAAAATGTCATGAAAATATAACTATTTATTTTTTAAATAGCATGAAAGATATAACTAAATAAAAAAGAACTTACTGAGACTTTTTTTTAAAAATAAATTATTATTATTATTATTATTATCTTTAACAAACTTAGACTAATGTAGAGTACGCACTTGCCATAGATGTATGATTATATTGTTATTTCAGATAATAATTTAGTAACTATGAGACTTATAAGCCATCCATACATGATAAACAAATGTGAATAGAATCAACAAGTTCCACACAAACATGTAAAGCCACTGAACATTGCCCAAGATCTCAAAATATAGAACCATTAGTAGCGGACCAAAAAATGCACAATTGGTGTAATATAAAAGTAAATCTAGAAGTCAAAATGAGTTGAAGAAAATCAATTTTACAGTGTGTAGACTAACCAAGAAGCAAAATCTGGTGCACCGAAGTATCCATCAGGAAAAATATTGATAGACATAAAATTTACCAGTAATCAATTTAAATAGAATCAATATTTCTCTTAAAATACGAAAGCATCAAACGAGAAAAGGCTTAAAATAGTCCATTATCTTTTAGTTTAGACTCAAAATAGTCCTATTTCTTTTTAGTGGAGCATTAATAGTCCTAATTTTTTAATAAAGTGGTGTATTTTTAGTCTTCATCCTAACCACAGTTAGTTTTTTAATTGACCAGTGGGTTATGCACGTGCTTCTCATATGTTTCCCTCCAAACTTAAAAGACTCTTGCTATTGCAATGCTGTTTGGGCATTCTCCTTTTGAAACATTAGTCTTCTTTCTTATTTTCCCCCCTCTTTATCTCTAATCTCCAAATAACTCTAAAATCTGAAACCTGCATTATACTTTCTTCAATAATATAATCAAAGTTGGAAGTTATAATGCTTTTAAGGAGCAAGGATGATGGAGAATCACCTCTAATTTATGGTAAGTACGATTTTATTTTTAATTCTTTTAATCAAATCCCACTATCGCAAAATATAATTCAACACAAGAAGCACGTTTGTGAATATATATATATAAAGATGTCGCTTTGTAACCTTGTTAATATTTTATAAGTTTTATGACTTAATCAATGCCCCTGAAATTTATACTTTTTGTTATTTGCTTTTATATTAATATCATGTTGTATATGTATGTATTATTTGTGTTGATTAGAATATATTTTTTGCTATTTTAGAATCGATGGCAGATACATCATTTTTCAGTATCAAAATACACCACGGAGGAGTTATGAAACGTACTCCAGAAAAGCATTATGTTGAGGGCAACATAGACTATATTGATTATGTTAATGCAAACAAATTGGACCTTGATGAGTTTAAGAAGAATGGCAGAGATTTGTGGATACTTAAAGAATTCAATAACTTTTTGGCATAGATATGGAAGATCTGGTAGATGGAGGTTGGTGTCTACAGATAATGAAGCCCATGTTGTTCGCAAAAACATCCCAAATGACAACATGATCGAAATTTACTTCGAACACTTGGATTCATATTTCAATATAGAAGATATGAACTTCTATACATAGCTCAAATGCTGCAGATAATAACAGACAACAACTTGTTCAGGAAAATCCATTGGTAAATGATTTTAGCGACTCGGAAGTTGAGTTAACTGATGGTTTACTTGTTGATAAACAATGAAAAGAACTGCACAATACATGTGGATGAATGGAGATCCTTAGTATCGAAGCACAGAGAAAGATGACAGCTCCAGAAGGAGAGTCTGATTGTGTTGATTCTACGGACACAAAAAGTTTGCATAGTGATTCTGAAAATGAGATCTTGAACTTTCCTACATTCAATCCACAAACAGATGGAGACAATCCAATTTTAGCTCTAGAATGTGTTTTTGAAAGCAAGAAAGATTTTAAAAGTGCAGTAGTTACTCATGAGATTAAGAATGGAAAGTATATCCAGTGGCTCAAAAATGACAAAGAAAGAATGAAGGCCGTTTGTATACATTCAGAGTGAAAATGGGAAATCACAGCATGTAAAATGCAAAGGAATACGTCTTTCCAGATTAGGAAGTACATTCATACACATAATTGCAAGCAGTGGCATTATGATAATAGAAAAATAACATCATCATTCATTGCAAGAAAATACCTCACAGAAATTAAATCAAACAGGAATTGGAGCTTAGTTGATTTTAGAGATAGAGTAAGTGTAGATCTACGAGCTCATGTAACTTTATCTCAAGCCAAAAGAGCTAAGATGTTCGCTATTGCATTGATTGATGGTGATATCAAGGATCAATACAAAATGATGTGGGATTATTGTATTGAAATTGATAGGACAAATCCAGGTAGTACAATTCATATGAAGTTCACTGAGAATGAGATACCGAACAAGCCATACAGATTTCAAAGGATATACATCTGTTTTGCTGCTTGTAAGCTAGATTTCAAGGTAGGATGCAGAAAAATAATAGGCGTGGATGGTTGTTGGTTGAAGGGTCCAATGTATGGGACTCAACTGTTAACTGCTGTTGGAATTGATGGTAATAATAATATATTTCCCATTGCCTATGCAATTGTTGAGAAAGAAAGTAAAGAGTCGTGGGCTTGGTTTTTGAACTATTTGACAGCTGATTTAGATGTAGATGAGACTGGTTGGACCTTTATGTCCGACAAACAAAAAGGTTTTATTGAAGCTTTTAATGAGGTTTTGCCATATGTCAGTCATAGATTTTGTGCGAGACATCTTCATAACAATTTTAAGAGAGCTGGTTTTGGTGGGTTCACATTAAAAAAAGCATTTTGGGCAGCTGCAAAGGCTACCACTGTAAAAGAATTTGATGCTTGCATGGTACGTATAAGAGAGTTAGATTCAAATGTTGCCGATTGGCTCAATGACAAAGAACCTAGCCAATGGTCAAGGTCTCATTTCTCTTCAGATGCCAAGTGTGATATTTTATTAAATAACATTTGTGAAGTGTTTAATAGCATGATCCTTGATGCTAGAGACAAGCCTATTGTGACACTTTTGGAGAAATTGCGATATCTTCTCATGGCTAGAATGTTAGCTAATAGGGAGAAAGCGCATAAATGGAGTTCGAATGATGTTTGTCCAAAGATTAAGGATATTTTGCACAAAAATCAGACTGCAGCGGGTGAGTATATTCCTAGAAAATCTAATCAATGGAATTATGAGATTATAGGAGCTACTATTCATGATAGTTGGGCTATTGATTTGGAGAATAGAATATGTAGTTGTAGAAAATGGAGTATCATGGGAATTCCTTGCAATCATGCTATTGCAGCAATTCGGGTGAAGAAGGATATCATTCTTGACTATGTGGATGATTGTTACAAAGTCGAAACATATAGAAGAATCTATGAGCATGCAATTTTTCCGATAAATGGGCCACAAATGTGGGCTAAATCAACTAAAATTCCTCCACTGCCTCCAACAATCGTAGGAAATAAAAAGAGAGGAAGAAAACAAAAGGCGAGAAGAAAGGAAGCCGATGAAGTTGGAGCAAGTCGAACAAAGATGAAAAGAAAGCAACAATCTCTAGACTGCAGTACATGCAACAAGCCTGGTCATAACAAAAAAACTTGCAAATATAATGTTGTGTCACAAGAGACTACTTCAGTTAGTCAAAAACTACCTGTACTACTATATCTTAACTATATCATAATTGGTTTCTTATTGGATAATCTTAAACTAACAGAATTTATGATTCAGGTTAGAAGAGGACATGAAGAAGCGGGACAAGAAAAAACTAGACAAGAAGGAGCTGGACAAGAAAAAACAGTTGGACGAGAAGAAGTAGTTGATATAGATTCTGGTTGGATATACTCTCAACAAACACAAAGTTAAAATGAATCATTGGTAATTTAGCTTATTTTGAGTGCTAATATGTGTTCAATGTTAATGGTAGTTTAGCCTTATCCAAGTGCTTATCTATGCATTTTTCAGGTGTTGATATCTCCTTTTTGGTGCTACTATATTGCTATCAGATTGTTGGTGGATATGATGCTGCAACTATATTGCATTCTCATGTGGTGTTCCTCTGTTTCATTTTCAAGTGTTGTTGTTCTCAAGTGTTGTATTGTTCTAAATCTGTAGGTATTGCGGTGTTGTCAATATACTGTACTTTTGGAGTTATTTTATGCATTTTCAAGTGTTTTGAACTTTAAAATGATGTTATAGTTCTGTTTTATTCTGGTGTTGCTACTATGCTGCACTTCTTAGTGTTGTGTTGCAGCTATTGCTCTTTATTTTTGGTATTTTGAAATTGGATTAAATGAACAAATATAAGAAAGAAATGAAGAAAACCCAATTAATTATCAGATTTAAATTCAGGTCACGTGCATAACCACTGGTCTGTTAAAAAACTAACTGTGGTTAGGATGGAGACTAAAAATGCACCACTTTATTAAAGAATCAGGACTATTAATGCTCCACTAAAAAGAAATAGGACTATTTTGAATCTAAACTCAAAGATAATGAACTATTTTAAACCTTTTCTCGCATCAAACACAAAAAGAACTTCCTGACATATGAGCATTTTTGCAAGCCACAATTTCTAAATTATTTGCAAAGCACAATTTCTAAGAATTTCCTAACCTATGAGCAGTCAAAAGAAGTCAAAGAGGTCCCAGACAACTAAAAACTTGTAAAATTAGTTCCAAACTTACAAAATATACAATGGTTATCTCAAGCAAACTTGTAGTCAAGAAAGTTGAACACAAATCATAACATAGAAGGGAAAAAGGATAAATATACCCCCGAACTATCGTAAATGGTATGCAGATATCCCCCGTCATACTTTTGGGATTGTAAATGATATGCAGATACCCTTCGTCATACTTTTGGGACATTGGTGCCCCTGCCGTCCAAAAACTAGAGCATATATACCCTTTATACTAACGGATATACACGTGTCATAATCTTATCCACCTACCGACATTTATTAAATATTGGATCGACGGATAAGATTGTGCCACGTGTCCCTATTTAGTCTTCCGTTAGAGTGAAGGGCATATATGCTCTAGTTTTTGGATGGTAGGGGAACCAATGTCCCAAAAATATGACGGAGGGCAACTGCATACCATTTACGATGTCCTTTTTCCCAACATAGAAAGAGATAATTAACAAAAAAGAAAAATTAAAATGCTTGATACTCAAAATTATAGCACGAAATATACATTTATGGAGCTTTAATCACTACAAGAAAAGAATCTTTTTTTGGCGACACAAATCGCCTCAGAATGTCAATATATCGCCATAACTTGTCATGGTGGCCCATGGATCGTTGGCTATACTAAGTGGCCTGATACTTTTCTGTGGCAACAACACAAGTTGCCACCAAAGGTTTAGTTTTCGTGGCGACTAATGCCGCCCCAAAATATGTATTAAAATTGCTACGAAACCACCTAACAAAAACGTAAAATATTGGTAAAAATTGAACAATTATTAATAGCAATTACGATACTTTTCCACTTTTCAGATGTACAAATAACTTCTTTTCCATGTTATGCCATCTCTTTATTTTTTAACCCTTCCCCTAGGAGTTCCCACATTTTGCTTCCTTAGTGACTCAAACTCACAACCTTAAAATTGATAGTAAAGGATACTTACCATCGGATCAACTCTCTTTTATATCCCATTATTTATTTTATTTTTAACTTCTTTCACTTCTTTCAAACTTAACTTCTATAAAAAATAATATATTATATTGTCATTTACACACATACACAAATTCACGAAATTTGTCACCCACAATTCATTCAAATTTTTCACGATAATTTTTTTTCAATATAAACCTCATATTGTATTTGTCGGTATCTAAATGGCTGAAAGCCTATCTCTCTTCTTACTTTACATACACTAAATCAAAGATGTACAAATGTGTTTGGTATGAGAAAATATTTTTATATTTTCTCATTCTTGTGGGTTTGTATATTTGTGTATGTGTATATTTTAGTTTCACTTCTATCTTATTTTTATTATCTATATAGATAAATGAGTTTTAATTTTTATTAACAAATATTATTTAATTATTATTTAAATTTACTTATCCTATAAATAGATCATTTTTAAAATATATAGTAAAGTCCACTACTATTTTTATTAATTATTTTTTTTATTACGTGGTTGAAACATTTCGAACAAATAATGGACCAAACAGTACATTAGTAATAATACGTTGAACTTACATTCAAAATCTTTATAAAAACAACAGAACGAGTGGAGATTACAAAGTTGTTTGAGGTATATGTATTTTTTTTTTGTTATATTTAAGTATTATATTCATATACATATAAAGTTTATAGTTATATACAAACACAAATAATTTTTATTTAACTATAAAAACTTTATATGTATATGAATATAATACTTAAATATACAAAAATATGCATAAACCTCAAGCAATTTTGTATATAACTACCACAATATACAAATTGCTATATACAATTATGTTTTATAAAAATGAGTAAATTTTAGGTTTAGCAAATATAAAAATCATATTTGTATGCTATAACTATAGTTTGTATAATTGCGCATGGCTATTAATCTGTATATTTCGGTATACATATACATAAAAAATTGTATTTGTATATTTCGGTATACAAACTAAAACATAAAAATTGTATATAAACAAAATTACTACATATATACAACACATATGTATACCGAATGGGTCTATTTGTATATTTCAGTATACAAATGGGTCCTGCAATTAATTTTTATACAACACATATGTATACCGAATGAGTCTATTTGTATATTCGGTATACAAATGGGTCCTACAATTAATTTTTATACAATACATATGTATACTGAATGAGTCTATTTGTATATTTCGATATACAAATGGGATGGCAAAAAACATTGAATGTTTGTTGCAAATTACAAAAAAAAAGAAATTATGACTATAACATTTAATTTGAATTAATAGTTTGCTATTTCATACAATTTTCTCTATAAAAATCCCCGATGTGCTTCGGATTTGTCCTGATCTTATGAACCAGACACAACCTCGTTTGGCTTTCCTCTTGTTTCCTCCTTCAACAATTTTAATGACGCTTGCCATGACATTGTTGATAACTTATAGCAGTGCAATTGGGTCATTTTTTTCTTAGATCTCAACTCTTCAATAGATTTTTCCTCTAGAATTTTTCTAGATTTTGCAATGGACCTTACACTGACTCCAAAATCGTATGCTAAATCGAGTGAAAATGAAGGTCGATTATCAACAACTTAAACATGCAATGACATACCTCTCGTAATCCACTTAGATAGAGTTCCATCATCCATTTTATTTTTGAAAAACTGATAATCTGATGAGTCATGAGAGACTTTTGAGAAAAAAATTTATCCAAAAACTAACAAGAATAATACATATATAAAGGAAAAAATGAAAAGAAAAAGGTTGAGACACGATTTAGGCGGTTACCTGCAAAAGTGAAAACACTATTAGGAGGGTGAGAGTGAAATTTGAATTTCAAATTGAAAGTGTAAGAGTGATTTTAAGAGAAAATAGGAAATGGGGAGAGGAAAGATAAAATTGAGTTTGTTAAAATCATATACAAAGGCCAATTTTTTTTTGTTGATTTGGTATACAAGGAAATTGTGGGGCCCATTATTAATGGCAAAAAAAAACTAAAACTGTAGTCATGCATAGTAAATAAATTAAGCTATATCCTCGTTGATTTTACCTAGTAATGTTTGTCAACTCGTGTAATTTTTCCTTTTTTAAAAGAGCTTTTTTGAACTAGTACATAAGAAGATAATTATGTAAAAATAAATTGAACAATAGATATAATAAGAATAAAATAATGTGCCTATTAAATTTTAACAAATGAAAATTGAGTAGGTGAAATAGCATAAAAAGGAAACTATTGGTGACAACGACGATAACAACAACAAGAAAACTCCACATTGGGTCCAAAATTAATAAAGTTTTTCTTAGTCACTAACTAGGCTATTCATTTGTGTTATATAAATAATGTAATTTTTCAATGGAGAAGGTTCGAGTGAACCCTAACCTTCAGGTAGATCCGCTCATATAATCAAGGATCTAAGTATCAATGATTGCATGGAGATCAATAATTTTTTGTACTTAGAATCTAGTAAATTTGGAGAAATTAAAATTGTTGGATAATAAAAGACTTGAAAAACATGAAAAATCATGCTCCAACTTTTTAGGTATTTGCATATCAAGTTGCGTCTATGTATAGCGCCAAAGGACACGTGAAACACAGTTGCAATCTTGCACAACTAATATTTTAGATGAATGTAAACACTACAAATTCTCAAATTGAAATCTGTCACCATAATCAATCAGGAGTTTGAATATCAATTGTCTAATTTTTTAGCCCTTGAAATATTAGAATTAACAAGATGTTAAAGGGAGCCATACTACTATTCAAATGGAGAGTATTACTATTCAATACCAAAATAAAATTATTCTAGGCATACATGATCAGTATTAAGTATCATCTAACATTTTGGCAAAATACACTTTATTTTTTGCCAAGATCCTAAAACATTTATTTCGTAGGATCAATATTCTTGATAAAAAAGTGAATTTACCGTTGCTATTTTTGATGGTCGGCTGATTTCCATACTCATCAAATTTTTCATAGAAGTAAATATTATTTAGGTTCACGTTCATGATGACCTCATTCAAATCATACATAAAAAAAATAGCATTCAGTATTAAAATTAATATAGTGAAAATGAAATACTTAATTATAATGAAATTGATAGAGACAATTACTGTAGTAAAGCTCTCACCGCCATTGAATTTGTATCCTTTCGAGACTTGTTTGTTAGTACATTCAAAGAGCATAAGTGGAACATAAACTCCA